CATAAATTCAAATGGTAAGAACTTGGCCAAATGGCCCATTTCAGATCAGCATCAGAGTCCTCACTGTGCTTCCGCAAGGCCTGAGCTCGTCTTCATTCCATTGCTTCCCCCAGCTCTCTGGCTGCTAACCCAGCTCTTTACTCTCACTACTCCCCAGGGCTACACCTCTGTCATGGCCACCTGTGACTTCACATTGCTCCTTGGAGACTCATACTTTCTCACACATCAGAACTTCACAGCGACTCTTCCCCACCTGACTACCTTCTTCGACACCTCGGCCATTCTTTAATAAATGCCAGACCCTATTTCTTTGTTCCCAGACCCTATTCAGTAGCAGTTCTTTCTATAAGGATAGATTGCTTAAAAGACGTGTATAAAGAAAGGGTCAACAGCAAGGTGGCTTAGCAGGTAAAAATGCTTGCTAAGTAAGTCTGACAACCTGAGTTTGATTCCTGAAATTCATAAAGGTAGAACTGCTTCCACAAAGTATCCTCTGACCTCCATAAGCACACCATGGCATAACCATGCCTACAAAAACATCATACACACTCATGCACACAATAATAATGTAGAAAATAAAAATTTTAAGAAAGACATGAGCCCAAGTGCAATATCCCATTATTATGTATTGTAAGTAAATGAACTTTCAGATACAAAGGTGTGCATTCCTAAGATTAAGCCCAGTTTCATTAGCATGTTATTATTTGTAAATGCTGCTGTTAATTACTGTAGGATTTTTGCATCTATGCTTATATGGTTGATATGTATTTTTTTTTCCTCACACCATTCTCATACAATCTTCTCATAATTTGGTGTCAAATTTAAATCACTTTAATCTCATTTCTCTAGAATTCCACTATTTGGGCAATGCAATTATTTCTCCCTTCGTCTTGAGTCAGTTTTAATCAATGAGTTTTTAATTTCACCTCAAATTTCAAATGTAGTAGTATAAATTTCTCATGATATTTGCTATTTCTTAAGCATCTACAGTCTTATCTCTTTTATTCCTTGTACTTTTTGATTTTTTCCTTACTTTTGAGTTAATTCTGAGAGATATCTATCAATTTTATTATTTTTGTAACAAACCAAAATTGCTTATGTTAACTGCTCTAGTCACGTTCTGCATTTTAATAATTTCTGTCCTTCCTGTAATTTCTCTTCTTTGTTGTGTTCTTATGCAAACACACTGATTTTTAATTTTCAGACTTTCTTATGTTGTGGTGTATTCATTTGGTGCCTTTAGTTTCTCCCAACTTTCTACACTATTAACACAAATAGCTACAGGCTCTTTGGACGCCTCAGCTTTCTACGACTGCCTTTTTTAAAATGACTAAGAACTTAATTGCGAGTCAAATTTAAACTAAAATAAACAAAACCATGAAACCCATTTAGTTAACATAAGATCACATGGTTCACAGAGTCAGATTACAAGTAATAATATTGGTGGATACTATAAGGTGATATGAGCCACATTGTATGTTATTCGTTGTGTTGCTTGTTTCAAATAATTGCCTTTCTCCCTATCAGACAAAACTGGTGGTTGATGTTGATATTTTCACTATATTCCTATAAGATGATCCTCTTCTTCCTCTCAGTAATATTTCTGAGCTGAATGGTTGTTACCACTCCAGAATACCACTTAAGTTTTGTTTTTTTTTTAATTCAAATGACTTTACCTTTGCAAATCATCAGCTATGTGTATATTTGCTGCCCTTTTTACTAAAAATTCTGCCATCTCCACCCTCTTTTCTCTGAGAGCCAGTAAAAGCCATCCTTACTGTTATCTGTAGGAAATGAATCTCATCTTCAAGGACAGGCACTACCTTAAGGTAATAGGATGGAAAAAAAAAAATTCCAAGAAAATGTCACAAAGAAAAACGCAGACATCTCATCTTCAAGGACAGGCACTACCTTAAGGTAAAAGGATGGAAAAAAAAAATATTCCAAGAAAATGTCACAAAGAAAAACGCAGGAGTTGCAGTTCTAATATCTGACAAATTTGACTTCAAAGTAAAACTAATCAGAAGAGCTAAAGAGGGTCACTTCATTCTGATCAAAGGAGCAATTGACCAAGAAGATATTACAATCATGAACATGTATGCACCAAACTCAGGTGTACCCAATTTCATTAAAACAGTACTACAAGACCATAAGACACAGATTAACCCCAATGCAGTAATAGTAGGGGACTTCAATATCCCACTATCTCCAATAGACAGATCAACCAGACAAAGAATAGACAGCTGAATGAAATGATACCACAGAGCAAATGGACCTAGCAGACATCTACCAAATATTCCACTCAAGCACCCAATATTCCACCCAATATACATTCTTTTCAGCATCCCACAGAACTTTCTCTAAAACTGACCACATTCTGGGCTACAAAACAAACAACAACACACACACACACACACACACACACACACACACACACAATTCAAAAGCCACCAAGAAAGTTGTGCTATTGGGGCCAGAGAGACGGCTCAGCAGTTAAGAGCACTGACTGCTCTTGCAGAGGACCCAGGCTCGATTCCCAGCACCCACATGGCAGCTACAAACCATCCTGTCCTTAACTATAGGGGAATCCTCCTCTGACCTCTGTGGCATTGCACGACACAGGTGCATTCACATGCATGCAGGCAATACACTCATCCACATAAAATGAAAATAATAAATAAAATATTAAAATAAGAAAGTTGTGCTATTTTCTAACCAAACACCTATTAATAAATAAAAATTTATCTATAAACACTCTAAGATAAGAACAAACCACATCTACCGCAAATGCTGAGGTTGCAATTAGTATTGGTATCTCCCCCAGGCTAGAAGAATTCAACCTAAGAGTGTGTGTGTGTGTGTGTGTGTGTGTGTGTATGTGCACATCCGTGTGTGTGTGTGTATCTGTGTGTGTCTGTGTCACAATCTAACCATATAGCCCAGGCTGACCTGGAACTTACGATGTAGCCCAGCCTATTGTGATTATGCCATTTACAATTTCTTACAGAAGATAACAATTATGAAAAATGATTACTATTTTAAAAGGCAGTAATAACTTCCTGAGAAGCATGTGAATCAAGTGCATAATAGAGTTTAGTTTTTATGTTTTGTGTATGGGTGCTTTGCCTGCATTAATACAAGTGCACCTGCACATACAGTGCCTGTGGAGGCCAGAAGAGGATGTCAGATCCCCTGGAACTGGAGTTATGGACAGTTGTTAGCTGCCATGTGGGTGCTGGGAATGGAATCTGGGACCTCTGTAAGAGCTGTCAGTTACAGTGTCAGTTAACTGCTGAGCCATCTCTCCAGCCCTCATTTCCTTGTTTTAAAGATAAGGTATCTATGGTACATAAACACAGTGCCAGCACATTTGAGACCACTAATGATATATTGAGAAATGTAGAGAGATATAGATGCACTGACAGACTAGAGGGTCCATGATGCCCTGGAGACCATTTATTATAACATAGATCACTTGTATAAATGACTATAAATTAGATGAAAAACCCAAATTTCCAGTATACATAATTTGTTCTTTTGTTTTTGTTTTTTGGTCGTGGGGCCTGAACTTAGGGCCTTATCCATGCTCATTATTCACGCTACTACTGAGCTACACCCTCAGCTCCGACACGGACATTTTTCATGCTCTTTTTCTAAGAATAACTACAGAAGTTGTAAGGGAAACAAAGCAAAAGAGTCTATCTGAAGACACTGAAAGTACTAAAGTCCAAAGGGTAGAGATCTGCAGCCACCATCCACATGTGGTATTTCCTGTCTCCTGAGGCCCCTGCTATGCAGTAAGTGGAGAGACTGGGAGAACACAGGTGACTGTGGGCCTGGGATGCAGAGAGTAACAAGCAGTCAAGCCCACACAGCTCATTAGACAGGTTGAGCGTTTAGCCTTAATCAAGCAGAGGGGGTCACCAGGAAATGCTTTCTGTGAGCTTGGGGATTTTGGGAGATTTTCCCTGAGGGAAAGAGTAAGCTAGGGATGGACTCGCCCTTAGAAAAGGATTGGACATTGGATTCCAGTCCAACTGCAATTGAATTCAAAAGATCTGTTCCTATTCCATATCCCTGTAAGAAGCAAAGCTAAATGCTCTCTGAAAGGTGAAAAGATCATTTAAAGCTTCAAATTATCTTTATGCTTTTCCATATATACTGTATAGCTCTTAAAAAGTAAGCATCTGTAAGAGTCAAGAATTGACTAAAAGCTAAGAGAAAAAGCAGACCACACCTAAGAATCCAACAGACAGGAAATCCAGACGTTATATTAATCAAGACATGGAAATTTAAAATACTGTAATTATTTAGGTAAAATAATATTAATGTGCAAAATTTGGGCAAGTAACTAGAAACCAAAAATAAACAAATAGAAAAACTTAGGAGAAACAATATAAGTGGAATTCATTTGAAATCAGTAATAAAGATAAAAATCTTCAATTGTTTGAGAATTAAACAGTAAACTCAATGATTTCTCATGTAGGAATAAAACATTTGATAGTGTATTACAGTAAAAACTCAAAATTCAAAACCTGTGAAATGTAGGCAAAAGCTGTATGTATTAAGCAATTTAGAGCCTAAATGCAAATATAGGCAGAAAATTTGAAACTACTTGGCAATATCTACTGAAATATGAAGGGTTTTGATTTTTTGTTTGTTTAAGGTACATATAAGCACTCTACCAATTGAGCTACAGCCTCAGTAAAAGATGTTTATAGCAATTCTACGCCTGCATCAAAAATGTGTACATGTGTGCACCCCAAAATATGTACAATCTATCCATGAAGACATAACTTTAATGATCAATAAAAGCCAACAATGGTAAGTAACAAAGGGAATCCCAAACACTGAACTTCAAACGAAGGGGAAAGATGACCAAGGAGGGAATGGTGGCAGTTTCCTTCTGAGAAGGAAGATGGGATGATGATGGCTAAGGCCTCCCCAGTGCTGCAGCCTCTAAGCATCTGTTCATAGAACCATAGGGAAAACCATCTTACCCTTAATCGTGTAGTGGAGATCTCAGCTTTTAAAATATCAGGATCGTATTTAGTGCTAGATGAAGATCCTGAGAAGACTATTGAAAGAGAGAGAAAAAAAAGATTAGTTATAAATTGCACCAATAATTCTCTGCTTGGAAATTACTGATTTTAAAAATAAGGCTTATGGGCTGGGTTTGGCGGCCTGTAATCCCAGTTACAGTGGAGGCTGAAGCAGACAACTGCAAATTTAAGTTGTGTTTGGGCTTCAGGGCAAGTGCAAGGACAGCCTGAGCAATTTAATGTGACCCTGCCTCAAAATGAAAAGGAGGCTTGTGGATATAGCTCAGTGGTATTGCACTCGCCTAGCATGCCTGAGGCACTGGGTTCACTTCCCAGTCACACATATGCACACACAAAACCACACACAGAACCAAAATTTATATTATTCTTCTGTGGACACTTATTTTTCTTTCTTTCATTGTTTTCCCTCACACTTTTTTAAATAGTTTATTATTTTTATTTTATGTGTATGTGTGTCTGCATGTAGGGAAGTGCACCCATGTCGTGCAATGCCAGCGGAGGACAGAAAAGGTTGTCGGATCCCCTGGAACTGGAGTTATGGACAGTTGTTAGCTGCCATGTGGGTGTTGGGATCTGAACCTGGGTCTTCTGCAAGAACAGTTAGTGTTCTTAACTGCTAAGCCCTCTCTCCAGCCCCAACACTTTCTTTTTTCTAATTCTTTTACCATCATTAAGGCACTTAATTATAAAAGTAACTTTCAAACGTATTTTATGTCTTGAGGCAAAGTCTTACTCTGTAGCCAAGGCTGGCCTCAAATCTGCAGTGATTCTCCTGTCTCAGCCTCCAAAATACAATTATTACAGGCATGGGCCACCAGGCCTGGCTCTTCAAACCTTTGTAATTCTTTTTAGAACTTGGGATACAGGACTGCCTCAAACTAGTTTGTCCTTGCAGAATTATATTGTTTCATAGCTCATCAGGGAGTTATGGCTTAAGTGGAACTTCTGAGCCCATCGTAGCTGCTTCTTATTTTTTATTTATTATTTTAATTTTGTGTGTATGTGCAGCCTATCTGAACATATATGTACATAAGTGCAGGTGTCCATGGAGGCCAGAGGAGGCTGTTGGGCTCCCTGAGTTACAGATGGTTGTTAGTCACCATGTGGGTGCTAGGAGCTGAACTCTCCATAGCAGCTTCTTTAAACAAGGCTAGTTTGAGATGATAAATGCATGAGACGGGCAGGGCTGGTTGTGGTCTAGAGAGGAGAGAACAGCCATGACAGAAACTGATCTAAGAGCTCCAGTGCCTCCCTCCTAACAATAGTGTTCAAGAGTCATCTTCAAAAAAGTCACAGGTCAGGGCTGAAGAGATGGCTCAGCGGTTAAGAGCACTGGCTGCTCTTACAGAGGACCCCAGTTCAATTCTCAGCACCCACATGGTAGCCAACCGTTCATAACTCCAGTTCCAGGGGATCAACACCCTCTTCTGGTTTCTGCGGGCATTGCACAACATGGGCACAATAACATACATGCAGTCAAAACTCCCATATACATAAAATAAAAATAAATAAAAGTAAATAAATTTTAAAAATTTAAAGGATCACAGCTCTTGCCTCCTTCTGAAAGAGGAATTTACTCATAAACAGATAAAAGGCAATCAAGCAGAGGCAGGAGCAAAAGCAGAGAAGGCATGTCTAAGGCCTGAATGGGGAGACCTCTGTCTGGAATGGGGATGAGGTGCTTCCTTGAGAAACCTGTAGGATACCCTCACCACTCATGGCTTAGAGGAATTTTTGCCTAGGAAGGAAAAGGGCTCCAAATTAAACTGCACAAAAGTACAAGTGGTCCTCTCTCATTTACAATCACATCTCACTTCTTGATTTTTTTTTTTGATGTGATATTTTTTATTTATTTTTTTTACCTATTCAATAACATTTTTCTGAGCTAGGGT